CATCGCGATCGAACTCTCCTTTCGAAAGTTATCGTGTAAACGGCCGGCCGGACACACTGACCGATTCTAGAGTGTACTCACTTTTTGAGTACACAAAAAGCGGTACTGAAATCTGATTGGCTGATAGCTCAACCAATAAAATTTCAGGGTTGTTTTTTTCGCTTATTCCAAGGACAAAACATGGGGTTGTTCGGGCCGATCTATAGGTTATAGAGGATTCTCTTTCATATGACCTGAACAATAGTATATGCTGTACTTAAAATAGAGAAGAAAACGGCTTTCTCGGACCTGATTAGTCTGTAGCTAACGGGTGTCAACCAGTGAAGAAACACACGCTCATATGAGCTGTCGTGAGCGTGAACTATAAAGTCCTACTATGGGTATGCCTATAGGATAATCGCTGAGGGCTTATGGGTACCCCTATGGCGTAGCCTTTTACAACCTATAGGTATGCCCATATTATAGTCCCTGAGCTAATTTGGGTACTCCAATGTTATAGGCCTTGAGTACCTGTGAGTATCTCCATAGGAGAGGCTTTGAGAATTTATGATTACTCATCTTGATTGGTGCTAATTAGATGAGTATCTACTTTAATTAGCCATATTGAGATGAGTACTAATTAAATTGAGTACTAATTAACGTGGGCACTAATTAATTAATTAATTTAGATTTACATAAGGCTCATAGTGAATGGGTTTAGACTGATGGGACGCTGCTATTTGCTATGAACTCTATGACCTTAACTGAGGTTAATGAGTAAAATAGGGATGCCTAAATGAGCTCCAAATTTGGAGTTTATGCAATTTGGAGCTGACTTTTTTTGATCCCGTATCGTTCATTTGCATACGGGTACCTTTGCTTGATTTACGTTGTTTCGGTGCAAAGCTGATGGACCCCTCCCCCCTTCCCACTGTCGTTAAGAGGTCGACCACGTTTCGGAGTTGATGAATTATGCTGAATATTTGTATTAATATTTAAAATAGAAGGAATCGACTGTTGATCTTGTATACTTCGCCCATCGTACATCTGCTGAACGGTTGATTGAGCACTACGAGCTCGTGTAAATTCGATAAATTGATTGAAATCCCGCAGCATGTGCGGATTTTGTTCTAATAAACGAAGAAGACCTTCTCGTCGTTCCATATCGTTGTCATCTACATACACTGCTGGTTGAGTATAATGTTGCTGATGTTGATCATCCATCTGGTGTTGATCACTCATACCTATTTCATTTGCTGTTACTTGAGCTGTACGAACGTAATTGTTCGATTTATTCATTTCGGCTAATTGAAAATTAATTGAGGACATAAAGTTACTCCTCCGCGCAATACGGAAGGTATTCGCGGGATACGAAGAAAGAAGAGTATGTACGTGAACGAGCAAAAATGTGACCGCTCTCTACGAAGACAGATGAAGAAATGATTTTACTTGATGAACTTCTTCCTCAATCGTGTACATTTAATGTCATAATTTATCGGATCGAACATTCATTATTATTAGTGGATAATACGGCAAAGTCCTATATTAATAATTATTTTGTTCGAGGGAAAAAAATTCTTTTTCTAAGATAAATATCAAAGTTTTTATCAAAAACATTCTAAACTCACGAAAAAGAAATTTTATGTAAGTAAAATTCCACTTGTTAGCAACGTGACTTTGTAAAATTCAACAATATGTATTTCCCAATTAGGAATCACTCTAGCACTAATTTCTCTGTGCTGCACATATGTCAACTTGCGATTGCTACTCAGAAGAAGACTAGAGGTAACCATGTCTCACAATTCACTTCACTCATTCTAATTTCGAAACGAAAAATAATTTTAGAAAGTTAAAAGGAACATTCTAGGGGCTATCAAATGCTTATGTAAAGACTTTTTGGACTATGCATAGATCTTTTGAAAGAAATGAATTGTTTTTTGTTAGAGATGTGACTAAGAACGAATGCACAACCGAATAAAAATTTTAGAATCGATTTCAAGTGACCTAAATCCTTGCTTAGATATTCATGATGAAAGAGAAACAAATATTTTCTTTTGAATGATCGAGAATTCGATTTTCAGGAAAAAAGTTGAAATCTGATCATTCGAAAAATTTCACCATAGATACAGATCATGTTCTAGAGTTTATCGTGAAATTTTCAGATTTTTTCTCATAAGATTACAGAGATATTCATTAATTACTTTCTAATTAACAGTCAGATTAAAGAGCTAATATTGGTACATAAGTCTATGCTAAAAGTATATAGTAAGAAAAAGAACAAAACCTAGAGAATGAAAGTTGTAGAAAAGGGTTGAATATCCTATTTTGCGTTGAATCATCCATATAATAAACTTTATTTTCTAGATAATCCTATCTAATCTTAAATGTTTTTCATTAAAATCTTATCGACCAATTCATATGTATGATTACCAAATCGTGCCACTTCTTCGTCATATGTCAAACTTGGAAAAACTAACTTTATGTCATATTGTAAAAAATCGAGCAACCTTCAACGATGGCAATCATCTCAAGAATGAGATTCTCGTTCATATTTCTCAAATGAAAACATTTACCTTTAATATTCATACATATAATGCGGGGAATAACGAGTTGCAACGACGAGTGCTACTTGTATATATAAAGTACTTAAAAGTCGGTTTTTCAAAGTGACAATCAGTTACGACATTTTTAGTTCTCACTAATCAAGCAACATAAATTTATTAATATCTTGCAGTTAGTAGTCTTTTCAACATTTCTTATGAAGAAAGATGTTCTACCTGATGGTAAAACTTCTTCTTCATCCGCATATGCCAAGATAGATGACACGTCGCCCACTACTGGCATATTAGATAGATCAATGATAAACAGTACGTTTCCAAATGCTTCTGCCTTTGAACAATTTTTCGTTGTTAACGTAAATGCAGGCCTATCGCCAAAATTCGACTTTTTGTGCTCATAACATTTGATCATATCAGACGTTAGATCGGCACCTCTATAGACTGTACGATTGAATCCTCGATGTTTATAACGATCTTCACTTTCTCTTAAATATTTATTCAAAAGTTTGTACAGGAAGCATTTGCTCGTATAAAGCCAAATGCAATTTTTACAAATTTCAGCTTTTGATTTCTCTTTCATACTTTTGAGGCTATCGGCAATCCATATAGCTTCATATCGTTTTCCCAATTTTGTTCCTTCTTCAATGATGCCCGTTGCAGCATCAACAGCGATTTCCAGTACATTTTCAAACTCGAGTGTTGCGATATTCATTTTATACACTTTGTGATCAACATCCTTTTTCCAACATTCGAGAAATTTCGAATAGTAACCCATAGGGGCGCTATGAGATAGAAAAGACGGAATATCTGCTGGCTGAGGTGGGAGAAAAACTCGGTCGCGTCGAAGTAACTCTGATCCATAATCATTACCTTGCATGCGTTTTATTGGTCGTTGTTTCATCTCGTCGGTTTTGCTTTTCTGAATATTGTTTTTCAAGTCAATAATATAATCATCTAACTCAACTATCTCAAGCTTTTTGGCGTAAGCATCTTCTATAATTTCATTTTCAATGTCTGAATATGTATCCCACTTGGCTGTTTCTGATGGTGACCATGGATGCGAAGTCGCTTTTCAATACCATACAAAACGAGCAACCATTTTGATGTTAATACGACGGCTAGGAAAAAGCTTTTGGAATAGGGCAATCAAATGAGAAAGGTATAAATAATATAATTTGTGAAGTAAATAAAAAACCTCTTGTCACTGCAAGAAATAAAGAAAGTAAAAATGCGTTTGTTACTTGGAGAAACAAGGCAAATAAATTTTGTTCCGTCATCACATCTCACAAGATGTGATGAAAAAAGACTTCTTGTCGCTCGTTCTTGTCAGCGTCCAAAAATGAATATATGGAAAATATGACGCAGCGTAAGCACATGGAGAGGAATATAAATGTTTTTTTCTATTATCCGATAGAGTAAATCTTTCACCATTTTCTTGCACATGTCCAAAAGAATTGAAATTTTGGATGTATAGATTTCTCGACTCCGGCTTTCATCTGAATAACGTAAATCGAACATTTAAAAACAAATCTTCACTTTTTGTAGCTAAAATTGTACAGCAAAATTCGGTCATTTTGGATTGTTCGAAAAAATTTTTGTACTGAAATGTAGTCGTGAGTATAATGTAGGAAGACGCCCACACTCACGCTTGATATCTTTCATGAAAAATTGAATACTCGTACAATTATCTTGTTTTATCTTTTACATGGAGAAGTTGCTTTCAATCAACGTAAGAGTATCGGCGATAAGAATTATAACCATGGTTAGCTTCTAGTAATTGTTGCTGCAAAAAAGATATGAGATAGTGATTGTTCACATTACATGTCTCAGCAATACACAACTAACAGCAGTAATTATTCGAATAGTAGTTGAAATTCACAAAGCAAACCATACACCAAGCATATTCAAGTCAAGATGAATAGAGCGAACACAAGGACAAAATCTGGAAAAGTCATGAATGAGCTGTGTGTCAGCGAACGAATAAGCAGTTCGGAACATGTTCGCACGTGTCTGCCGGTACTAAACGTGTTTTCGCTCCATTCACCTGAACTTGGATAGAATAATGGATAATGGTTTTGAAAAAAAAAATTCTTTTCTAATTCTATTTCAACGATTGATAATACACAGCATAGACCGTCAAGAAGATTAAAACAAGTAACATCGAAGTATCGTCCCTCTTTTTAAATCATGCAAGAAACGTCTTGAAGCACCTACTTTAAAAGTGGAAGCATTTCTTTTGAGCAAGTTTATGACCTCATTTTCTAAGAATTCTAAATATATTATGTGATCACATGATAGATTTGAATTCTAGAAGTAATGATTTATACACGAGACAAAATAGGTCTCATAATAGATAAAATATTATTAATTCATGTGAGACTTTACTTTGCGAAAATAAATCCTAGAATATATTTTACATGAGAGATTTTTGAGTCCGTAAAAAAGTGAGAAATCTTTCTTGAAGCTAACCGCACTAATTACAAACAATATCTCTTGCCATTGTTTTTATAAATATAAATTTTGAACAATACTTCGCTCAATGATAAAAATTTACAGAGTATGGATAGTTCAATTTTTTTTTTCGTAAATAAGAGTAATTTGACGTTTCGCAAAGCATCGAGTCAACCGAAAAGAGAGTTGTTATACAAAAGGTCTATCGTTATAGATATCCATTTAGCGATATTAGAAATTTTATGTTAAGTTTTTTTTCCTTTTTTTTAGCTATGATAAGAACAACTTGATATATCCAAATAAAATTATGTAACGGTGCTAATAAATGAAATAGAAATGATTGCACAAGATCTATTAATGATAGGAAGAACGATTATGGTAAACGTAATTCAATAACCTATTTTTCTAGTTGACTAGAAAAGAAATCAGTCGTTGAAGAAATTATAACAGAATGATCAAAGAATCTATAAATATCATATAATATTGTAAAGAATATTTTTTGTAAAGAATATTTGTTACTGAAATTTTCACTTTTCCAATTAATTTCTCATGTGCAATGACAATTCTGGGTATCTTACGTTTGACAAATAAGAAGAAATGGTTTAAACTATTTTATAAAACCAAATTCAACAGAAAATAAACGAAATAAAATTGAAAATTCAACTAAAGACAATAACAAAATATCAATTAATATTAAATAGCATTGAACGGCACATTTTTCAGACTGAACAATGTTTTCCTACTCGCCTACTTTTCTTGACTCATTATTCATAGAATAGACAGATTGACTTAAATGTAAAGTTTAATATATTATGACTCATTTCATCAATGATAAAGAATTTTCGTATAATGGGAAATATATTTAATAGCGGCACCTACCACACATATTAAATTACTTTGTTAGTATATTATTGAACAAAAAATGAAATAATGATTTGATACATTTCAGAGTCCTTTAAAAATACTGAATAAATTAGTAAAAACAAATAAAGAATGTTTTCAAAAAAGAACTAATTTATTTATGATTGTTTTCTGATATATATATATATAATGGACTGATCAAATAAGCTAGGCATCATCATTGGGTATCAAAAAAGATGACGAAACACCTGGAATAGACGTTAACTCTGTAGTCATTGATTGTTCTTCCACGTTTTTGTTATTATTTTCATTATTATTATTTTCATTACTGTTATTATTATTATTATTATTATTATTATTATTGTCATCTGTTTTAACTTCAGGTGGTAATGTTATTTTATTCATCGATTGAAGTGCACGAATAAATTC